TGTGTGCGTGTCTGTGTGTGTGCGTTTGGCCAGTGCGTGTGCGTGTGGTCAGTACTCACCTCTGGTCCTTGGGCTGTGGGTTTAACACGTCGTAATACTCCTCTAGGGCAGAGCGCCGGCGCTGTGATGAAGCCACGTCCTTTCTGGGCTCGTGTGTCTCCGTGTCAGAGGCTCCATGGCTGGAGCTTGTGTGCTGCTCGTGCGTGCTGGGCGCGATGACGGCGCTGTTGTCGCTGCTGTTGTTGCCGTTGTTGCTGGTGCTGGTGGTTGTGGTTGTGGTTGCTGTAGTGGTGGTGGTGGTGTTGTTGGCGGTGACAATGGTGGCGGAGGAGGTGGTGGTTGAGTCATCGTCGGCGTGATGGTGGTGGTTGTGGTTGCTTTGGAGCTGCGCGGTTTGAACCCCGTTGGGGCTGGACCCAGCTGAGTTGTCCTCCGGGGTCATGACCACGAACGTAGAGTCTCCGATTGTCACGTGTTTGTCTGCCATCTTCTGATTGGTTGATTTCGTGGAGGCCACCACAATGTCACTTGCCGACGTCATCGTGTCGTCGTCGTCGTCGTCGTAGAATCCGCTCCAAATCTCTCTGACGTCACCACACTTCTTTCTGGTCACGTCTGCGTCATCTATGATCCATGTCTCTACCAAGGAATCTTTGCAGCCAAAAGACACTCTGAGGACGTAGATGAGAGTCGTTTTAGTATAGATAGTTTAAGTACGAGTTTCGCGGTTCTTGCAACACAAATAGATCGTACCAACTGCCCGCGAGCCTTCAGCACGACAACTCCAAGCGTACGGCTTAGACCATCATGTCTTACTTTCGACCACCACTACGGTAGCAACCAATTGACTTTCAGTCTTGCTATCACTAGATTTTTGGAATATGTCCACTAAAAAGTATATATAAATAATAAAGGAGGCAGTAGAAGTCAGATAGTTTATAGATTGGGTTAGAACCTCAAGATTTAGGGAATGTGAGTACGAACAGAGAAAAGACAAGCCAGGCTGGTTTGAGTAAAGAGAAGCACACTGATACAATAATGGTCATTTAGTGCTGAGGAAAAAGTAAGATAGTCACACTGACAAAAGCAGCAGAGGAAGAGAAAAGAAGTAAGACCTATCAGCAGCGCCCTCCAACCGCCCACTCCTCAGAACAACACAACGAAAACTTTCCTTCGAAGAACATTTAAATCAAACTCGTTCACCTTCTATCCCCCTCAAACTCAACTAGATACCTTTACGGTGCTATCGTACCTCTTTGTTTTAGCAGAGGTTTTACGGCGCTCGCAACTGCATAAGATCATATGAGCGCCAATCGTACCTCTGGAAACACAATCAGCCCCCCTCACCTGCCCGCGCACCAACAGGTGGTGACCAGAGACAGGGGGACGGAGCGAGCAGACGATCGAGCCTTCCAGAACCGCGCGCGATTAATGGGAATCAAACGTCACAGCGTCTGGAGAACTGTGTAAACACAGACGGAACAGGTGGATCGCCCCGGCATTTTTCTCTTCTCCCACAGCAAACCCTGTGTTTCTGTCGAGTTGTTTTTTTTTAACTTGGTGGATTTGGGGGGGGGGGGGGGGGGGGGGTACAAAGAAGATGTGTGTGTGTGTGTGTTTTTGTAGGGAAGGGAGGGGATGCAAGAGGGTTGGTGGTTGTTTAGTTTTGTTTTGTTTTTGTAAAGGGGGGGGAGGGCTTTGGGTGAATTTTTTTGTTCTGTTTGTTTGTTGTTGTTTTGGGGTGTTTTTTTTTATTTTGTTTTTGCTTTCGTCTTTTCCCGAGGGGAGGGGGCTCAAAGATGCTAGATTAATCACATTCTCAAAATACCATATTATTATCTGGTCCCAACACATACCATTTATTTCTCTCCTTCGGGACTCCAGCCCGTTAGAAAATGGGGTATAAATATGTATACGTTTAATATACGTGTATAATACGTACATATCCACAGTAGAGACTACGGCGATGTGCCGGCTTTTCTCTCTCTCCTTTAGCCGCACTCGTGAGCGGGTTGGTTTTTATCTGAGGGCCAATAAGCTGCCAGGGGTACTAAGTTAATGAAATATTCATGTTCTTTGGTGCTTCCAGGTTGGGGTTGGTGGGGAAGAAGTGGATGAAACAGAGAGACTGAAGTGTGGGGTTGGGGTCAGCCATAGACGTATATTCCTAGACTGTTGACTGTCATGGTAGGTAACTGTCGCTCTTCCTTCATATTATACTAGCTGGAGCCCCTTTTGTTGAAAGGAATGATCGGTGCATTAACATCAACTGAAAGTCATTGGCCTACTACATTACAATTTACACTCTACTGGAATGGAGCCATAAATCCTGAGAGATGCAAAAAATTAGAAGGTATAGATATAGCGATGTATAGATTGCTTCTCTATTCCGCTTTCCTGGTTGTACACTCCAGAATTTCAAAGGTGTGGAAACAGTGCGCACGGCTATTGAACGGAAACCTCACTTGTTTACAAAGCGTCTTAGAAGACGGACTTTCCCAAGATTAGATCTAAACGAAGCTAATGAAAAACTGAAAATTAAACTACGGTGACTCCAGGCTCCTTCAATAAGACTGTGCATCCTTTAAATGATTCTGAACCACCATTAATTTTGTCAAATTCGAATATTAAGTGGTTCCGAAGTTATAGGCGGCCTAAGGGACGAACTTTCACAAATATAATATGTATAAATAAAAACTTTGCTGCTAAGTGTGTGTGCACACCATGGGCTGTACCCTAGACGCTGAGATAGTATAAGAACGTATAGGCAGGACCACAATGCCTAAAAGAAGGGCACTACACCAGCCACGCTATAGACGACCATAGACGTATACTCCTAGATCGCCGACTGTCATGGAAGGTAGCCTCCGCTCTTCGCTCTGTACAAAAACTTTGCTGTGACGTGTACGCACCATAGACTTTGACATGGGATCCACAAGGAAAACGTAAGAAAGGAAGAAAAAAGATGACATGGAGGCGAGCGGTACAAGCGGAATTGGAAGAGGTGGGGACATCATGGAAACAGCTAGAAAAGGATGCACAGGACAGGCTTCGCTGGAGAAATGTTGTTGATGGCCTATGCTCCGCTGGGAGTTAAAAAAGGCAAGAGAGGGGGAGAGACAGACAGAGAGAGAGAGAGAGAGACAGAGAGAGAGAGAGAGAGAGACAGAGAGACAGAGAGAGAGAGAGAGACAGACAGACAGACAGACAGACAGACAGAGAGAGAGTACGCACCATGGGCTTCACCCAGGGAGATCAGATAGTATAAGAACGTAATAGCTGCACCACAACGCACATAAGAACGACATCGACCATAGACGTATACTCCTAGACAGCGGACAGCCATGGTAGCTGCCACGCTTCGTGCTCTAATACAAACATCAAAACTTAACTGCTGCGGAGTGTGCGCACCATGAGCTGCATGACTACGTGCCAATGCTGGGCAAAACACTAGTCTCGCTGGAGTTGAGTGCGTGCTGCACCTACCCCCCCCCCTCCAAACCCTCTCTGTGGGTGGTTGGCGAGTGCCCTGGTGTGGTTTATTCCTTCTTTCCTATCAAACATATATTGTGCGGACAGAACCTTTCATGGATCCTGGAGAGGAGGGAGGAGCAGCTATGGCATTGTGCCGCCTGCACTGACGCCTATTCTCCAATCAAGTAAGTAAGTAAGTAAGTATCGTGCTGGTCTCTCCTCCTTCTTTTTTATGTTTGTTACTCTCTTGTAACACCTCTAATCGTCGTCACTTATACGACCTCATTGCGTTGCAAGTGCCGTAAAACTCTTGCTAAAACTTTAAAAAACCTCCCCTTTCTGTGCTCGTCATTTTATTCAAATTGAGACAAATGGTGCTCTCCATTGTGAATCGGAAATACGTCAGAGTGCATGATCTAGGATATGTTTTTTAACTACAAGTCTATGGAGTCAACGATTTAACACAGTGTTGGGGGTAAAACATCGCACAAGGCGAGTGCGAGAAAGAGTGTACACAGGATATACATAAAGAGGCAAACAAAGAGAAACGCACAGTGAGAGATACAAATAGAGAGCCACAGGTCATGAAGAGGCAGACAGACTGACTGAGACAGACAGATAAAGTGAGGGAGACGGATAGGTAGAGAGAGAGATAGAGAGAGAGAGCCAGAGAGAGAGAGAGAGAGAGAGAGAG